TAAAAAATATGTATTACAAAGTAGCACGGCAAATATTCATACAAAGTGAAAGTACACTCCTTTCAATCGTTTTCAGTTCTTTTAGAGTTCCGAATGCGCATACTCAGCATGTGATTCTTTATCTTTTGGTACGATGTACAACCCTTCCGCAGTTGCCCACCGGGTACCATGTTGCGGACTGCTAAAACCGACTACTTCCATTTGTCCAGAGATTGGCCGTCCAAACGAACGTCCCGACATACCCAAATAACTGTCAGTGTCTAAATGCCGAAATCGTACTTGAGCATCACGTATCCATTCATCACTAGTGCATACCAATTCCCAATGATCCCCTGTATCGCCAACGCCATCTTCGCCATAAGCAGATACTTCCTGTTCACCCGATAATGGCGAAGAAAAGTGATGTGAGTGTAGATTCTTCTTGGTTGTCAAATGTTCTAATCTAATGGTATCACCACATTGAATAGGTTCGCCACGTTCGCAGTGATTATTTGTTGGAGCTTTTACAACCCAATGACTGTTTACATCTTCTTTTATTTCGACGCCGGTCACCGACTGTTGACCCGACCCAGATCCATATTTGACATCGTGTGAATGAAGTCTGGAGCCATAATCAGAGTTGAGAAGTTTAAATATTGAACCGCAGGTGACAAAATTAGTTTTGGCAGCTAAATTTAAAATGAATATTAGTAGTGATAACAAATCTGTGTACAAGAACAACAAATACTTAATAGAGGGCGGAAGACCAATCACGGGCGACCACATCAAACTTACCAAAAGCCGCCGGCAATATGCAGAGAAAAACAAGAGGTAACTGTATTATATTCGTCTTCATTTTCTTTCAGCGTTTTCTAATTTGTTTTATTTATTTAATCAAAATCCTTAATTTCTTCGTAACACAATAACTGATAGGAACCCCAAAAAATTGCAATTGTCAAACCCACCAAAGACACGCAAACAAATGTCAAAATATTGAACACAAAAAACGGCGGTTTCAGTGTTGCCAAATTTACTTTTTTTTTTGAGCTCAACTTGAGCACGGTGCAGCGAACAAAGGTGGCGGCGTCAGTGGTACCGCTACTTTGGTTTTGCCGATATTGACAGTAGTGGTAACTTGTAAATAAACCTTTGTTTACAAATCAGCGAAAGAGAAATTCGCATTAAAAGTTAAAAATCAGTTTAAATCGTGTTAATTTGCAATTTTTGAGTTGAAGACTGCGTAAAAACTAATAAAATGTAGTGCTGTGTGTTAAATTGCGACAGCCATCAAGATACAAGATGCGTAGATGCAAGTGTAGCGCTGGGACGAATCGCTGCATTTTGTGTACATAGGGCACGTCAAAGCCGTTCCCGAAATGTTTCTTTATTATTACATTAACAACATTTCCGCACAATGATTTTGCTTCTGCTCCAAGCAGCCTCCATTAGCAAGTTAACTTATCAATCCCGCTGAGATGCTGCCGAAGTTTTCTGTAGCAGCCTTAATTGCAAAGCAATGAAGTGCTCTAAAACGTTTGCTGAATCAGCCTCAATTGCAAGGCAATGGAGTGCACTAAAATGTTAACTATTCTCTAATAGATTAAGTAAAAATGCAATATTTTCGCATTTAGCAAAATTAAAACACGTTTTTCGCTGTAAAGTGAACTCTTTTGGCAGTTTCAACTCGTTCTTCTTTTCGCTCTATTCTTTGTTTACTTGTGGTACACAAATGTCAACGCCCAGGACGGCGCAATCTTGTATTCTATCATTCTTGCAACTTGAGGTTAAGTTGAGAACTAAGGTATTTCTCAAATCTCCAACGTTGTTTCTCAACAGTACCTAAAGTGGAAGATCATAGCGTTCTCAACAAAAAGGGCATTTTTCTTTGTATGAAAAAGGACTGTTTATCAAGTTGAGAAAACGCTAGTTCTCAACTTGAAGTCCAATGTAATTCTCAAATGGTCTCAAATATATCATTAAAATACTAAAATTGAAATAGTAAAATACCTTATACCTTTTTGATTGAAACGACATACATAGATGAATTTAAATATTAATTTTTCATTTTATTACTCCTTTTGTATTTAGTTAAGCAAAATAGTACTACAATAATTCACTTCACAGTACACAGTCCGACAGTAATTTTGCCACTTGATTCACTTGGCGTTTTATTTTCTTTCAAGATTATTTGAGGATATTTTGAAGAATATTTACTTTTTGTTGGTAATTTTCCTTTTTATATAGCTTTAGTTTTTCACTTGATAATTAAAAATTCGTTCCTCTATCACTTTTTACGTATCTGCGCGTCGGTTAGAGATGAGTTGGAGAATGATGTTTGATATCAACTTGAGAACTATGAATTTCTCCAAGGTTGGAGAAATTTTTTTTTAGTGCTTATTGGGCGTATATCGTCATTCTGCTGATCCGCGCAACTGACATTTGCTGCCAATTGCTTTATAAAAAATATAACCATTTTGAAAAATGAGCGTTTTTACTCTCTTGAAAATAATTTATGCATCCTCACATACGCGGATTTGCATTTTGTTGATACGCGGTTTTGCACTTTAAACGACGATATACATATACTTTATGGCGTACTGGGACCAAGATTCCAGAAACTCCTGCCAATGGACTCGTACGCCACCATATTTCAGGCGGAGGTCTTCGCAGTCGAAGTCTTTGTTCGCTAATGTCATCGTAGAAGGCAAATAATGCCAGAATAAATATTATGTCCGATATTCAGGCAGCGTTAAGGGCCTTAGTCTCTTTTAAAACGGCATCAAGGCTTGCGAACTCTTGAACCACCTGGGAGCCGACAATAGCGTAACGCAGTGGTGGGTTCCGTGACATAGAGTCTGAAGGCAACGAAAAGACCGACTGTCCCGCAAAGCGTGAAGACCAAATGATCTTGCATATTCCCGAGCTATTCTGTGGTACATCTAAAGGATACGCTGAAAAACTACATAGGAGCTAGCTCCTCAGATTGCTGCCCAGTGGTGGAAGTCAAAGAGAATAAGAAAATCAAAAAGATTCATAACTCCTTCCAGGAGGAATTCCAAAAGACTCCTTGAACTTAGAACTCTTACTGGCTACTAGACAGCACAGTGCAAGTTAACGTACCATTTGAATTAAATGGGTATTTCTGTAAGTTCTGTGGTCTGGTGGAGGAAACCCCAGAGTATATTGTATCTGCCTGCCCACGAAGCATGAATCGTAGATTGATACACCTTGGATAACGACTGTCTTATCCGTCTAAAATTTGGAAAATGGCATCATCTAAAATGCTTAGCTTTTTAAATAGCCTAGGGTTGGAGTGATTACAGTTAAGGTTTAGCACAACATGTCTTCTTAGGTCGCAGCGCGAGTATCTCCGACGTAATAATGATAATAATAAAATCGTCACTAGATAAGAATAATGTCTTGGTTATAATGGACGGGGCGAATCGTAACAAATCGCGGCGAATTCGTAAGGATCTATTGATTTTAGATTACGTTACTTCCATTATAATCCAGGCATAAAGACGCGCGCAAGGTGTATTAAACAAGGTGGTGTTGGGGCGACAGCTGAGATTTTCGCCGTGGAGGCCAGTACGTCAAAATAATGTGTTTGTTGTAACTCATCCCAATGACAGTATGGACATCAGCGTATAATTTGTTAGTGTAATGTTTTACTTATATACGGCCAACACCACCTTGTTAAATACGCCTTGGACGCGCGCGTGTTTTGACGGCGAAAAAAATTTACGTAAAACGTATTTACGTATCATCGGCGAAGAAAGACGCTTAAACATGAATTCAACATCGTTCCGGAAAAACTCCTTGGGGAACTCCTATGTTACTGTTACTCGCAAACATAGTTGAACACGAAAATATGCTTATGCGTCTTTCTTCGCCGAAATTTTTTTTTTGCCAGCAAATGTCAGTTACGCGGTTTTTCAGAATGACGATACGCGGTTTTGTACTTTTAACGATGATTTATATGTTTAATAAACATTGTTTATGTTATAATATTTATGAGCCATCCTTAAAGAGAAAATTTGCGAAAAATATTTAGCATTGAAACCATTGTGAATATTCAAAATTCTATATATTCTTAATTCGACTCTATGTATTACATTTCAATACATTTTATACAACTTAATGCTGAGTGATTACAAAAAAGCATTCAATATATCACAGTTTTTCCGATTATTTACACGACTTAGTTTAGATTTTTAATAATAATAATTAACACAGAAATAATCATTATACATAACAAATATAAATTATTTTTAGGGATAACGGGTTAAGAAAATGGGGGAATAACTGACAGTTTATATTCCTAATTTAGAGCACAGTTTGCCTCAAAAAGAAAATTAGTCCAAAACGATTAGCTATTTAAACATAAAATGAAGTATTTTTTATTTACAAAATTGCATGCGTGCTTATTTAAAGAAAAGGCTCTATACTATATTTCTTAAAACCAGCTCAAAACTAACCACCGGAGGTGACACTTTTAAACTAGGTACTGTTGTTATATGAACTGTCTCAGAACCGTCTAAGCCAGAGTCAAAAATTATGCAAAAGTTCGTAGGACATCGCCATGTTAAAAAAGACCGTTGAAAGCATTGATTTGGGATAGATGAAGAACCAGTTCCGTCCCTTTTCAGGCTAGCTCAACGCAAGTTCTGAACCAGTTTGATTTGCTGCACGGATGAATATGTTGCTACGTTTATACGCACGTATTATTTGCAAATAACAATTTTCAAAATGGTAAGCTTTGCTGTATAACCGCTGAGTTAATTTTTTATTTGCAAATAACTAAATCACGCAAATAAATTTTGATTAGTGGTACCATTTGCAAATAAGCGCAAGACCGCCATTCTTAGGTTAATTTTCTTTTTCGATGGTCATCTTATTGCCTTTTTATAATCAAGACGTTGCCATTTTTAACTTTATATTCTTTTTCGATGGTCATATTATTGCCTTTTTATAATCATGCAATATTAAAAAAGAAGTTTTCACCATCGAATAAACAGTGAGTTAGGTATTTGCAAATTATTTTTAATTGCAAATAGCTTACGTATAAACGTAGTATGTATTGATTAATTTATCTAAAATTCAAGAAAACCGGAAACCTGGAGCAAATAGTCCATTCTAAATTTCGAACTAGTTCGTTCGATCAATTCCTTGACCTATTTCTTGAACTTTTCAACTATATTGTGAACCGACTTACAAACAGTGTGACCGCGGGCTTGTGAAAACTTGTAGCAGAGAAGGGGCCTAAAATGTATCAATATGTATCACTTTTTTTATTTCAGGTATCAAAGTATTAATATGAAATAAAACCAATTCATTTTTTTTAAAAACCCATTTTCCAGTTTAACATTTTCTGATTGCACAAAAGTGCACGTATCAGTTGTATTTGGTATTAGTATAGTAATAACAAGTAATTTTTAAATTAAAAAACCCCCAACTTCAATTCGCATATAAAAATTAAGATTATTGTTAATTTCTTCATGATCCATCAGTGAGCAGATTCAAACTAAATTAGTATGGGGCCACCTGTGACGTAGCACCTTTCCTTTGAAAAACTAATTATAGAAATCGGTTAACGTGGTCCAAAGTTATGCGGTAACATATATATAAAAAAAATATATCAACGAATTGATAACCTTTGATAACCTTCTCTTTTTTGATCATGAAAAAATTAGCGGTGCTCCTAAGTTTTAACATGAGAATTGAAGTCGGTTGTGTTTTGCTTAAAAAGTACTGGTTAGTTTGAATACTTTTTGTACTTATAGGACTCAGAATTCAAATTTTTTAATAATTTTTAAGGTATTGCGAAAACATCATGCATTCCACCATTGGTAAAGTGAAGCGATTTGTTCTATTTGTTTTGATCAAATTCAGATCTCAGAAAATGCGGTCTACAGCGGAAGAGCTGTGCGGCAAACATAACAAGTTAAAGATAAAAAAATTAGCTCGAAATATAAAA